GCATAATAAAGGACATATCTGAAAGCTGATGAATATTCTGAGATCCTCCCCCTGAGACCTTCTCTAAGATTTCTGCCTTTAGAAAACAAAGGACCCAGTGAGTACACTCCCTGGAGCACACTGGGCCTTCCCCTCCCCACTTCCTTCCTCAGGCACATACCTTTGCTTTCTTTCTCCTAAGCTCTAAAGGCTCCCGGGAGACCTGCAACCAGGGGAGTAATGGGCAGCAGCAGCTCCTCCCAAGCTAACTGTCTGAACCTGTCTCCAAGGGCCTTTCTTTTGCCTCTGTAACCTGTTTCCTGAGTCCAAGCTGACTCATTTCTCCTGCCTCTCTAAAAGGCCAAGGCGGCTCTCTGAGCAGCCCACCTGAATATTCTCTCCCAGAGTACTTTCATTTTGCAAGCTAACTAAACTTCCGCTTGTGTTAGAGCTCTTGGCTCTGAATTCCTGCTTTGTTGAACTCAAGAACTCAGAGCCCAGATCGCTGCTATCAATATGTGAAGCCTTAAACCTCAGTACCTTATAATGTGACTGCATTTGGAGATAGGGCCTTTAAAAATGTATTTAAGGCTGAAACCGGTTTGGCTCAGTGGATAGAGAGTCGGCCTGCAGACTGAAAGGTCCCGGGTTCGATTCCGGTCAAGGGCATGTACATTGGTTGTGGGCACATTCCCGGTAGGGGGCGTGCAGGATGCAGCTGGTGGATGATTCTCTCTCATTGATGTTTCTAGCTCTCTATCCCTCTCCCTTCCTCTCTGTTAAAAATAACAATAATAATAATAAAAATGTATTTAAGTAAAAATGGTGTGGTTAGGAGGCCCTTAATCCAATATGACTGGTGTTCTTATAAAAAGAGGAGATTGAGACACAAAAGATCATCTTTTTAAACATTTTTTATTGATTGATTTTCAGAGAGCAGAAGAGGGAGAGAGAGAGAGAGAGAGAGAGAGAGAGAGAGAGAGAGAGAGAGAGAGAGAGAGAGGAGAGAGAGAGAGAAAACAATTTGTTGTTCCACTTATTTATGCATTCATTGGTTGATTCTTGTCTGTGCCCTGATGGGGGATCAAGTCCACAACCTTGGCATATAGGGACAACACTCTAATCAACTTAGCTACCCAGTCAGAGCTATCATCTTCATTAGTAATCAAAACACATTGGATTGTTTTGTGATGATTAACAGAGAAAAACATTTCCAATATTCTCAATAGCAGATTCCTCCCGGTCTTTATACTCATTCTCTCCATTAATTTCCTGTAATTATAATTGACTTCTACCTCCACACTCGACTAAAATTGCCTGAAATTGGTGAAGTCACAGGACACCCATCTCTCTTCAAATATGAAGCCACTCTTATTCTTTCTAGAACTTTCCAAGGTGCTTGGCCCCCAACCTTTCCTTCCTTGAATGTTCCTCTCATGTTTCTTCAAAGACTCATTCCCACTGCCCTGGACCATTTCTTGATCTCTTGACCAACCATTCTCCTCCCCTTTCCTTTCCCATAGCAGCCATGACCAACTTTTTGGGTGAAGGGATATGGAAGTGGAGGCTGCTCAGAACTTTCCCACCTTATGAAATCTTTTATGAAGCAGACCTGACTATAGAAGTTGAAAATGCCCGATACTTGCTTTCCCGGCCCCCTTCTGCACCTGGGTGCTGACACTAACCCAGGCTGGGCCAATCAGATGCAGCTACCTTAGGCTTTTACTCGGAGTTATTGATGAAAAGAAGCAGAGTCTACAAAAGAGTGTTTCTGGCACTCCCTGTTTCCATGGCAGCTGTGGTAGCTGTGCAGAGCTCAGGTCCCTGGCCTGCTGTTGTCAGTGATGTGAGGCCTGCCATCTAGTGGACAGAAGTGTTCTCACCAGACCCTGTTTATAGTTGAGCTGTGGTTATAGCTGTTTAGGCTCAGAGCCTAGTTCTCCAGCTTTCCCAATGATTCTGTGAACTATTTATAGCTTAACTTAAAATCAGAATCTATTTCCGTTGCTTGCAACTGACAACTCTTACCAATATAGCATTTCAAATACCTGTTCTCAGTTCTCTTTTTTTCTATACCACCTAAGACCACACTTATACCTGTATTTTCTAAACTTCTATTGCATTATTAAAGAATCCATGCACACTGTCATTTGTTAAGTTATACTTTAATTTTCAATTTTCATATATTTAATTACAGGCCCCATTGTGTCTATATATTATGTCTCTCCAACAATACCATGAACTAGCCTGACTGGCGTGGCTTAGTGGTTGAGTATAAATCTATGAACCAGGAGGTCATGGTTCCATTCCCAGTCAGGGCACATGCTGATTGTGGGCTCTATCCCCAGTGGAAGGAGTCCAGGAGGCATTAAACTTTAGAGTGCATATTGTCATCACAGGGCCATTGTTAACCTGTTTATTTAAACTGATAGATGAAGTATTTGACAAAGAGGACTGACTTTGCTGATACTTTTATACGCCAGACACTTTCCATGCATTAAATGAGTTTGAAATATGTACAGTTCCAAGATTTTGACCAAAAAATATTTAAAATACATCATTAGGAATCAAGATAGTGGCATAGGAAAATGCCTGTACTCACTGCCTCACATAATCACATCTAAAATACAGAAAAACCATAATTCAGAACTGCCTGAAAGGATGTCTACCACTAGAGACATAAAGAAGAAAGCACACTGAGACTGGTAGGAGAGGCTGGTCCTACACCATGTGTGCTGTTTTTTTAATTGGGAGGGAGATCTCTCTGAGGAGGATGCCCATGAGGAGCAAGGGGTCCCAGCCCTACACCAGGTCCCCATCCCAATATTCCAGAGCTGGGAAGAGAAGTCCCCACAAATATAGGCTGTAAAAACCAGCAGGGATTGTGGCTGAGTGACATGGAGGCTGCTGGAGTCCTAGGTGTTCCATTTAAAGGGCCGTTGCACAAACTTACTCAAACTCTCAGCACTGGGCAGCTATGGGGGACCCAGACACATATGGGGAGGAACTGGGGGCAGCTTTCTCCCAGACTGTGGTGCTCAAAGGGGTCATTGTTCCTATGCTGGGACTTCCCCCATTCCAGTACTGACTGGTAGCCATATTTGAGTCTCCATCAGCTTGGAGAACACTATTTGCTCACCTCTGGGGATTCCCTGAGACCATGGTCCATTCAATTTGCAGGCCCACCCAAGCTGTTTGCAGCAGCTTGTCCATATGAATGGCTTGTCCTGGCTCGGGCTTCAGACTTTTCTAAAATCTCTCAAACAAGCTGCAGCTGATGACTGCATGACCAAAACCTATCAATAAAAGGCCCAAGACCCATCACTAACACCAGCCTACCTTGCTTCACAGCCGGGCCTGGCCTGGGCACCTCAAAGTCCAATACAAATAGAAAATAGCAGCCATTTGCAGATCCCTCTATAGCTCCTGCTGGTTGGCCTCAGGAAGTGGCTGATTTTGCACTTTCCTGGTGGCCCTAGAGCCAGTGCACCCAGTGGACAACATCCCACAAACACATCAACAATTCAACTAAAGCCCCACCAGCATGGCTCAGTGGTTGAGTGTCAACCTATGAATGAGGAGATCATGGTTCAATTCCCCACCAGGGCACATGCCCAGGTGTGGGCCCAGAAGGTGGCATGAGGGAGGCAGCCGGTCAATGATTCTCTCTCATCACTGATGTTTCTATCTCTCTGCCCCTCCCCCTTCCTCTCTGAAGTCAATAAAAATATAATTGTTTTTAAAAAGACTGATATCTAAAGAGTATAGTATTTCTTTTTAAGGTGATGAAAATGCTACAAAATTGACTGTTGTGACAACTGTGCATATACTAAAAACAATTCACTTTAAGTGAATTTTCTCTTAGTAAAACCGTTTTTTCTTTTTTCCTTATTTCTTCAGGAAAGCTGTTCTGTTTTTGTTTTTGTTTTTTTAATATATTTTATTGATTTTTACAGAGAGAAAGGGAGAAGGATAGAGAGTTAGAAACATCCATGAGAGAGAAACATTGATCAGCTGTCTCCTGCACACTCCCCACTGGGTATGTGCCTGCAACCAAGGTACATGCCCTTGATCGGAATCCAACCTGGGACCCTTGAGTCCGCAGGCTGATGCTCTATCCACTGAGCCAAAACGGCTAGGGCTTGTTTTTGTTTTTTAAAAGAGGAACAAACTACTGACACATGCTAAACATTGGTAAACCTCAAAAATATTATGCTAAATGAAAGAGGGCAGACACAAAGGGCCACATACTGTATGGTTCCACTTACATGAAAGGTCATCTTTGCGGGAGAGGGGAGGTGGAGAGAGAAATGACAGGTGGTTTGGGCAGACTTCGTTCCTGTTCCCGTGCCAGATTAGCTCCACTCCAAGAGACCTCTCAAATGACAACCTAGCAGGAAGATGGTGTGAGCTGAATGAACACGTGGGTGTGGCAGGGGCCTGGCGGGGACTCAGCTCTAGCCACACTTGCCCACTGTCCTCCAGCAAATCACCTGCTGATAACTAGGGAGCAAAGTGTAAGGAGAAAGGAAAAAAAGTAAGCCAAGAGGAGACCTGGGAGACAGAACATACTGCCTTGGAAAGTCACCAAGCGAGAGCTCGTCTTCATTCCTCAGAGGTACCTCTAGTGCCCTCCCTCTCCTCCTCGCTCCTAGGCCTTCCGCCGAATCTGCCCACCCTCACTCCCACCATCTCTGCGAGAGCCTACCCCCGACATCAGTCCACGTGCAAGCGTACCCCGGCCATGCCGCTGTGCGCCTGCCCAGAGGCCACCCGAAGCCCAGCGCGGAGCACGGGCGCAAAGGCTCTGTGAACGGAGGGCGAGCCGCACCGCGCAGCCATCCGGCCTCTAGGGGGTGCCAAGCGAGCGTGGCCGGCAGCCCCGGCCAGCACCGGTGCCCGGATCTCGAGATCCGGTGAAAAAGCAAGTCTCCTGGTTACAGGTTCCGGATCCCACGGGCCACCAGACGCCTGCCAGCTCTGGGCAGCCACACCACCGCCCCTGCGCCCCTGAGGTAACGCGAGAACCCACGGGGTCTGGATTCTGGGGAGTTGCGAAGGGAAGTCCCAGCTCAAGGGCGGGGGTTGGAGGGCGGAAGACGGCTGGGACGTGCTGTCAGTGCCCATGGACACTGTACTTCCTGGTCAGCGTCCCAGCTCCCCACTTCCCCAGCTCCCCCACTTCCCCAGCTCCCGGCGCCCTGCACCGCCCTCGCCCATCGGGCGACTAACCCGTCTCTGGGAGGAACCTTCCCTCTCTCCACCCTTGGCTTCCCCCGCAGGTGAAGCCTCCATGGAGCGGCTCCTGGCCCAGCTGTGTGGCACCGGCGTGTTGCAGCCACTTCCGGTGTGGGAGGGGGACACCACGGGCCACTGCTTCACCCAGCTGGTACTCAGCGCCCTGCCCCACGCGCTCCTCGCCGTGCTCAGCGCCTGTTATTGGGGAACCCCTAGGTGCGTTGAGACGGGATGCACTTACCTCTGCCCGTGGGTGCCTGCAGATCTCTCCCGACACCCACATCTGCGCGACAGTGTAACCAAGAATAGTGAGGTCTCTGGAGCAGGGCCAACGTACGGTAGAATAAAATTTGAGCATACCGCGAGGTTTAAATCAAATAATGCATTTAAGCATATAACGCCCGTACATGGCACATTCTAAAAAAATACGTTTTTTTGACTTTTGGAGAGAGGAAGGAAGGAGAGAGGTAGAAATTTGGATGAGAGAGAAACATCAATCAGCTGCTTCCTGCACGCCCCCTACTGGAGTTGGAGCCTGAAACCCAAGCATGTGCCCTGACCTGGAATCCAGCCAGTGACCTCTTGGTGCCTGGGAGGGACGCTCAACCAATTGAGCCACACCACATTTTTAAAAGCCTGATGCAAGGTAGAAATAATAACTTTTGTAGATTTTTCAGATGTTCAAATACAACTGTCATGAATTATTAAAGGTTGACTTTTATTCAAATATAATCACCCTGATCTGCTGGACTTTTTAAAGGAAACCTGAAGCATTTTAAAATACAATTAAATTTTTTCAGTAACCCACCCCCTACCAACAAAGGAAATACAGCACAAGGACACACGGTTAAGGTGAAGGGCTGCTTGAGGTCCCTCTGCATTGGAGATCTCCACTCAAAATCCTGGTCCCCAGGTCCCCTCTTTTTTTTTTTTTTTATCCTTACCCAAGGATATGTTTTAACTAATTATTATTTTTATTGTTTAAATATGTATATTTAGATTTTATTTTATTTATTTATTTATTTTTTTTTTTACAGAGAGGAAGGGGGAGGAATAGAGAGTCAGAAACATCGATGAGAGAGAAATATCAATCAGCTGCCTCCTGCACACTTCCCACTTGGGGGGTGCCTGCAACCAAGGTGCATGCCCTTGAATGGAATCGAACCTGGGACCTTTCAGTCCGCAGGCAGATGTTCTATCCACTGAGCCAAACCGATTAGGGCTTAAGTATATTGTTAGTGATTTCAGAGAAGAAGGGAGAGGGAGAGAAAAACAGAAACATCAATGATGAGAGAGAATCATTGATCAGGTGCCTTCTGCACACCCCACACACGGGATCGAGCCCGCAACCAGGATATGTGCCCTGACTGGGAATTGAACTGTGACCTCCTGGTTCATAGGTTGATGCTCAACCACTGAGCCATGCCAGCCTGGCTTCATTAATTTTTAGAGTGAGAGGAGGAGAAGGGAGTGAGAGAGAACGAGAGAGAGAGGGGGGGGGAGAGAGAGAGAGAGAGAGAGAGAGAAAAACATCAACCAGCTGCCTTCCATATGTGCCCTGACGGGATCAAACATGCAGCCTAGGTATGTGCTCTGACGGAATCAGACCCGCCGCCTTTTGGTGTACTGGACAGCGCTCCAACCAACTGAGCCACCCAGCCAGGGCTCAGCCCTCTTTGTATATGAACTATCAAGAGATTCTAATATTCACTGTTGAAGGTGTGTTTTCTGTTGCTTGATTTTTAATGCAGACAGATCGCCCTTTTTATTAAAAACATGTTTCCCATGCCAAGAAGATACAGACAAAACCAGAAAGAGTTTTGTGTTTCAGCTAAAGGAGTCACAGGAGTGATTTATACCATCCATCCTCTACAACCACTGGGAAGACTGAGAGTAGAATAGTCTGAAGCTTTGCTGAAGCCGGTTTGGCTCAGTGGATAGAACATCAGCCTGCGGACTGAAATGTCCCAGGTTCGATTCCGGTCAAGGGCATGTACCTTGGTTGTGGGCACATCTCCGGAGGGGGGTGTGCAGGAGGCAGCTGGCCGATGATTCTCTCTCATTGATGTTTCTAACTATCACTCTCTCTTCCTCTCTATAAAAAATCAATAAAATATATTTTAAAAAAATAATCTTAGGCTTCATAACATTTAGGTTATAAGAGTATAAGAGGTGTATGTCAGTCAAATTTTTATCCACCTAATAGTTCTTCAGGTGAATTTAAGGGTTATTTTAGGTAGATATTTCTGTGAAAATGAGTACTCATCCTGAAGTGGTTTATCAGTATAAAAAAGTAGGATTTTTTTTTTCTAATTAGAGCCTTCATATTTTGTATGATTTAACTCAAAACTGTTCATTTCTGTGGTGAAAGAATGATCAGAAACGATGTGGGTAGATTAGAAAGTGGATTAGGTTAATCCAGGAAGACTTCCTCGGAGAAAAGGCCCTAGGTTCCCGGGGAAAGTGGGGTAAGAATAAGGTGCATAGGGCAGGAAAGGGAGTTGATTCCCTCCAGGAAAGTGAATTATTGGAGATATGTCTGGGCCCTGAGTCAACTATGATATGCCTCCTTTTCTGTTTCCCCTCTTATCCCCAGGAGTCCAGATTACAACCTACCATGCAGTCCCGGCTGGCGCCTCCGACTCACAGCCTCCTTCCTGCTCTCCATCGTTCCACTGTTAGACCTCCTTCCAGCTGCTCTGCCACCAGAGGCAGGCCCAGGGCCCTTAGGGCTAGAGGTGCTGGCAGGGGGCGTGGCAGCGGTGGCCTGGATCAGCCACAGCCTGGCTCTGTGGGCATTGGCTCATTCCCCTCAAGGCCACTCCCGAGGGCCCTTGGCCTTGGCTCTGGCTGCCTTCCTGCCAGCCCCAGCCCTAGTGCTCACCCTGCTGTGGCACTGCCAGCGAGGCACACTTCTGCCCCCACTCCTCCCAGGGCCTCTCTCCCGCCTCTGCCTTCTCATCCTGCAGCTGGCTTCCCTCGTGGCCTATGGACTAGGCTGGGCAGTCCCTGGGCTGCCGCAGGTACGCTGGGAGCCCCTCCTGCCAGAGGGACAGGAACCGGAGATAGCCGAAGATGGAGAGAGCTGGCTGTCACGCTTTTCCTATGCCTGGCTGACACCCTTGCTGGCCCGTGGGGCCCGTGGACATCTCCAGCAGCCCCAAGACATTTGCCGCCTTCCCTACAGGCTGCACCCAGCCTACCTGGCCCGTGTCTTCCAGGCACACTGGCAGGAGAGGGCCCAGCTGTGGAGGGCCTTGTACAGAGCCTTTGGGCGGTGCTACTTGGCACTCGGACTGTTGAAGCTGGTGGGGACCATGCTGGGATTCTCGGGGCCCCTGCTGTTGTCCCTCCTGGTGGGATTCCTGGAGGAGGGGCAGGAGCCTCTGAGCAATGGCCTGCTCTATGCCTTGGGGCTAGCCGCCGGGGCTGTGCTGGGCGCTGTGCTGGGGAATCAGTATGGGTATGAGCTACGGAAGGTGACGCTGCAGGCACGGGGGGCCGTGTTGAACCTCCTGTACCGCAAGGCCTCACAGCTGGGGCCCAGCCGTCCTCCTGTTGGGGAGGCCCTGAACCTCCTAGGCACTGACTCTGAGCGGTTGCTTAACTTTGCCGGGAGTTTCCACGAGGCTTGGGGCCTGCCCCTGCAGCTGGCCATCACCCTCTACCTGCTGCACCTGCAGGTGGGTGTGGCCTTCGTGGGTGGTTTGATCCTGGCAGTGCTGCTGGTTCCTGTCAACAAAGTGATCGCCACTCGCATCATGACCAGCAACCAGGAGATGCTACAGCACAAGGACACGCGGGTTAAGGTGAGGGGCTGCTTGAGGTCCCTCCACAATCGGAGACCCTCACCCTGCATCCCGGTCCTCCCATGCACAGTCTGAGGGAAGGAGTGTGATCTAGAACTTGAGAGCTCAGACTGGAGAAAGACATGGCTTCACATCCCAACTTGGCCACGTACTATAGTTTAATCGCCTCAGGCAAGTCACTTAACCTCTTTGGGCCTCGGTTTCCTCATCTGTGAAACGAGGACAATAGTTCGCCTCTTAGGGTCATTGTGAGGTTCCTATGAGGTAATGCTTGGTACGGTGCCAGTCACAAAATGAGCCCTAAATGAATGTGCTCCTTAGTAATAGTATTAGTTCATGCAGTCCTAAGCAGCAACCCTAGGAGGAAGGAAGTAACCTGTCTGGGACCAAATGAGGTTTTAGTGATAGAGCCAGGACCCAAATCTCCCTCCTCATGTAGGGCCCAGACCACCCCACAGCTGCCTATGGAGAAGCCAGGGGAACCCCAGCTGCCTCTTGGCGGTGGGCTCTGCAGAAGGGAGGAGCTCACGTTCCCATCAGGCCAGCTCCAGGTGTGAAGCATCTGGCTGGGTCAGTTCTGGGTTTTGCAGTGATTGTAGGTACCTCTACAGAGGGGATGGTAGGCCTGGGGGTCCATACAGAACAATTGTGAATGTATTTTTTTAAATGTATTTTTATTGATTTCAGAGAGAAAGGAAGAAGGAGAGAGATAGGAGCAATGATGAGAGAGAATCATTCATGAGCTGTCTCCTACACGCCCCCTACTGAGGATCAAACCCGAAACCCGGGCATATGCCCTGAGCAGGAATTGAACTGTGACCTCCTGGTTTATAGGTCGACGCTCAACTGAACAACACCGGCCAGGCAGTTGTCAGCATCTTTTGGCGCTAACGGAGAGGGCGCTGTCCCCGATAGCCGGTTATAGCATGAGGCCTTTTTTCCTCCTCACGACAGACGAGGTCTCCAAGGCCTTGTGAAGGCTTCCAGTGCCTCCGTGGCTTGTAGGCTGGGGATGTATAAAAGTTAGGATCCAAAGAGTTCCTCTGAGTGGGGGTGCGGAAAGAGACTGAACAAAAACTGTGCACCTATGAACGAGGACAATGGGGGGTGGGGAAAGGAGAGAGGGTGGGGTGGGAACCTGGTGAAGGGGAGCAAATGACAGGGGGAAGAGGATCACATTTGTAATAATCTGAACAATAAAGTTTTATTAAAAAAAAAAAAAAAGAATTCCTCTGGCCCTTGCCCATCTTGCCTGGGCCCCTCTGCCCAGCTAACCCCAGGCTGCGGTGTGGCCTCCTACATCTGTTTTCTCCTACCGGAATAGTTCCCACACCACCCAAGCCATGGGCCAGACTGGTGACCAGCCCGAGAAGCCCTTATCTTCTGGCTTTGGGAAGCAGTCCTTCTTCCCTCATCTAATGGGAGAATGCTTGTACCAGTGTGGTAACCCTCTGCACTGCCCACCAGTTCATCTCTTAGGAAGGTCGGGGGAGCCAGCTCTGACCTGTCCCCAGCCGGAGTGCATGGAAAAGTAAAAGACGGGGAGGGGAAGCAACCCAGGGTTGAAAAGGGTTTCAGGGCAGGACTTCCAGAAAGAGCTGAGGTGAGGAAGAAAGCCAGGGCTAGGAAGCACAGAGTATCTGGAGGCTCAGGGTACTCGGCATCCTCTACTATGAGCCTGGGGGGGACGAGGCAGAGGAGCCACACGAGCAGTGTCTCCACCTCACCCTGCTCTCTTGTTCCCGTCCTTAGCTCATAACGGAGCTGCTGAGTGGCATGCGGGTCATCAAGTTCTTCGGCTGGGAGCAGGTGCTGGAGGCCCGAGTAGAGGCCTGGCGGGCTCAAGAGCTGGGGCGACTCCGGGTCATCAAATACCTGGACGCAGCCTGTGTGTACCTGTGGGCTGCCCTGCCGGTTGTCATCTCCATCGTCATCTTCATCACTTATGTCCTCCTGGGGAACCAGCTCACTGCCACCAAGGTGAGGACTGGGGGAGGGGGCAGGGAGGACGGCTGGAGGGAGGCAGCAGCAAGAAGACTGCAGTGGAGTGGGGAGGGGCCTCAGCTGGTGGTACTGGCTGGGAAGGAGGGAGGAGGATCCCTGACTGCCGTTTCTGTTCCAACTGAGGGGAATTCTCTGAAGGGACCATTTGCTGGGGTCTCAGATATGTAACCCTTCCCTCTTGAAGGAATTCCTTTTTTCCTCTCCTCTTCCTTTCCAACTTCTGGTCAGACCCAAGCTCTGTTAGGTCCCTTTTTTTGGTCTCATTTTGATGTCCTCAGAGAGAAAAACAAAATCCATGATTCTGTTGCTTCTGCCCAGGGCCAGAGGCTTACTACTTAGAAATTCTGAGAAGGTCTGAGATTGGCTAGGCCTGCGTGCCTAAGGTACAACCTGGATCCCTGGTGGGCCATCTGGGACTTCTGGGATTCTTGGAATGGCCACCTTTGCCAGCTCTGATCCACGGATTGTCCAACCAGACCCTCAGTCCTGCTGCCGCCCTGTTCTTCCCTCCTCAGACCCGTCCACAGGGCCATCCATACAGCAGGCCTTCAGATGCTTCACTACCCTCCCCCCTCAACCTTAGGTATTCACGGCCCTGGCACTGGTACGCATGCTCATTCTTCCTCTCAACAACTTCCCTTGGGTGATCAATGGCCTCCTGGAGGCCAAAGTGTCCTTGGACCGGATCCAGCGTTTCCTCGACCTCCCCAACCACAACCCCAAGGTCTACTACAGCCAAGGTAATGGGGAGCCAGAGGATAAAGCCTGGCACAGGTGAGGAGGGCACTGCACATAGATGCTACCGAGAGAAGCCAGAGGCAACAGGGTCCAGGTAGAGCAGGTGGCCATTTCCTGGGGGAGAATCCTCAGACTGAGAAGGAGGCTGAATTAGCCCTTGGCAGGTAGATATGGGGCAGGCAAGCTAATGGCATGCCCCTGGCTTACCCTCCCCAAGCAGGTAGGTGGTGGATTAGAAGGCCAATTTGAGTGGCTTCTTCTCCTTTCAGATCCCCCCACAGAGCCATCTACAGTATTGGAGCTGCATGAAGCCCTGTTCTCTTGGGACCCAGTTGGAGCCGGCCAGGAGACCTTCATCGGGCACCTTGAAGTGAAGAAGGTTCGTTGTTGTTGGTCAGACAACCTAGAAGAGTCCCCAAGCTGATAAGGAAGATGGGGGCTCAGTGACAGATAAACAAGGATGGAGCCCAGCATAGCTAGATGGCCCTGTAGCTCTAAATACGGAGGGGGAAGACTGGAGAGGTTTGGTGAGCAGGCTCTAATTGAGGAAGAGATGCTACTTCATTGAATGTCATTCCTTCCTCACACAACTTTTACATAGTCACGTCTCTCTGTGGTCTTCAGACAGCTCACACCCACTCAGTCCAGACCAGCAAATGTTTTGTCTCCTGGATCATCCATGTCTGATAGAGGAGATCCAGTTCAGGCTGATCCAGCCCCAGGGCTGAGCACCGGGAAGAGACCCAGCAGTCCCTTCTGAAAGGATTTTGCAAATGAGATAGATAGTCCTCTCTTTACCTTGGCGAAAGGAACCCTGTGGTTCACACCATCACATGAATTCTCACAGAAGCTCTTGAAAGAGCGTTCCTGGCAGCACAGTGACGTCTGTTTCCCCCAGTCCTGAGTTTTCATGCTCCCCTGGCCCCATCCAACCCTTTGCCCCGCATCTCAACCCAGCATTCTCTGGTGGTGGCTGAACTGTCTCCACCACATTTGGCTCAGGTTTCTGGCTTGGGCTGTGTGTTTTGTTTTTCCTCTTAGTTCAGGCAAGATAAGGCTGGAATTTTTCAAAGGAATTTTACTAATGTGTCAGTTGGGGCTTTTTTGGATGTAAGTTGTAGAAACGTACTGGAGCTACCTTAAGCAAACAAGCATGTATATAGTAAGGATATGGAGATGAATTGCAGAATCCTAAAGCAAGCATGCAACTCCGTCTCTGTAGCAGCCCAGAGCCAGGCCTCGACTTGCAGAGAGCTCTTTCCTTCTGTCTGTCTTTCTCTCTATTTGCCTTGTTTTTATCTCTCTGTGGACCCACTCTGCACTGAGCAGAAGATGCCACGGCAGAGAGCCCTCCTACTTGCTGGCTGTAGCTGGAAAAAGGGGGCATCCCCAGGGGAGGGGCTCACGTTGGTTTGTTGCCTACCCGTGGATGAGTCCATCCTGGCTGGCTGGGTAGGAGCTCTGCCTCTTCCTAGAGGATTTTTTTTCTTTTTGTTCGGGGAGATTGCTCAATGAATGTGTGTTACAGCTAACAAATGAAGGGAACACACCAGATTTTAAACTGCAAATGACAGAAATAGGCCCTTTTGAAACACTGCGTTTTGCATGGAGATACCAGAAGTCCAGCTACAAGTGGACTTAGCCAGCCCAGCATCCAGGTCCCAAAGCCTGGAGTCCCTTCCTTCCCTTTCCCCATTCTGGGAAGCCTGCCTCAGAGCTTGCCTTGGAATTTCTTAGGCTTTGTTCCTCATGGCGAATTCTTTCCCTACAGACTCCCCGGGGCCTAGAGAGAAGCCTCTGTGGGGTGGTTAGCAGCCGGGGCCTCAGCAGGGAAACCCTGCGCTTACCTGTGTGGGTTTTTTGCAGGGTCTCCTGGTGGGCGTCGTGGGGAAGGTGGGCTGCGGAAAGAGCTCCCTGCTGGCCGCTATCGCTGGCGAGCTCCACAGGTGAGCAACCTCTAGCGTCCCCATCCTCAGTTCTGCCCTCCAGCAACACTTAACCCAGCCCCTGCTATGTGGTGGACCTTTTTTAGGGGCCAGAGATGCCAAGTGAAGAAGACATAGTCCCTTTCTTGGGAGAGGTTTCAGTCTGAGAAGGGGGAAACTCTCAAGAAAGTGAGTTCTCATCATTATCACACCAGAGTTACCAGTGCTATATTAGTGAGTGGAAAAAGTGAATGCAAACATCCAGCGTCAGCTGCTCTTTGTGAATATGTGGTTGTGCAGGGAAGGGGTCCAGAGAAGAGCCGAGGCGTGAAGGAAGCTTTCTTCTTCTGTGCCTAAGTCCAGGGTAGTGGCCCTGCTCTCTTCTGAGCTGCTAAGAACATCTAGATGTGACAGCTGCCTGGCTTCCGTCAGAGAGCAATTTCCGCCTCCCTGTCCAGAAAGAGCCCACAGCCTCATTTAGGACTTCCGTGGCTGCCAATCCGGAGAGCCACGTGACATGAAGGGGATTCTGTGTGGAAGGCAGCAGTCTGGAAAGGCTTCTTGGAGGCAGTGGTTGGGCATGGAGAGATTCAGTCTGGAGCCAACACCCATGCTGCTGACCTGGCTCTCTGCAGGCTACGTGGACGCGTGGCATTGTGGGACCTGTCCAAAGGCTTTGGCCTGGCCTCCCAGGAACCCTGGGTCCAGTTTGCCACCATCCGAGACAACATTCTCTTTGGGAAGGCATTTGATGCCCAGCTGTACCAGGAAGTGCTGGAGGCCTGCGCCCTCAATGACGACCTCAGTGTGAGTCCTGGCCCCGAAGCCTCTTGGCCGCCCGTGTGCTCGTGTCCCTGACACCTCAAATCAGAGACCGACCCTGGGAGGGGGTTGCTTCCTCTCAGACATCACTTACCTAGGACTGGCCATCAGGCTTTGCTCCTCCCAGAGTGTGAGCTGAGGGAGGAAGGGGACGGGGCTCCACATAGCCACTGGGGGAACCCGGAGTCTTCTGGGGCGAGTGAAGGATTCCCCGTGAGGCCGAGATCTACATAGGTCTGGCTGGTTGTTTTTATTCAAGAGGTCCTCGCTTACCTCCCAGTGGGAAGATTTGTGGGGGGCAAGGTTACTCTAGGGAAGCCCGGAGAACCCTTTGGGTCCCCCACATTCAGAGTACTAAATTTAGAGGGGATGGGGTTCCACATTTCTCCCATGACTTCCCCACCCAACCCCCACATCCCTGCGGGACTGCCATCACCACTCCCCGGTCCAGGTGAATGTGGCACTTCGCTGGAAAGGAGGACCTTTGACTATGACCATGAGCATCCTCTGTCCGTCTATTGTTGGTTTCTTTATCAAGCATCTGTAGCAAATACCTACCAGGAACTGTTGTAGGCAGTAAGAAAAGGGAGGAGGAGCAGTGCTCTTTCCTTGGCCTCCCCATCGGGTGGACCACAGGCACGTCCTCTGAGGTCACTCGTGAGGCCACAGGAAGCTTCGAGGTGCACTCCGTGAGAAACCCTCAGAGCGTCCCATTGAATTTGCCCATCACCATCCTTGCCTGTTAGAAAAGGTGCGGCAGTGTGATGGAGTGGCTAAGAGTCTGTGCTCGTGTCCTGCCCTTTACTAGGGTGGAACAACCTTGGGCAAGGTAGTGAGTCTGACTGAGCTTTGATCTCATCTGTGAAAAGGAAATAATACCATCGTCATAAAGTTGTCATGGAGATTGCATGAAATAATGCCTGTAAAGTGCTAAGCACATAGTAAATGCTCAGTAAAAGCCAGTTGTTATGGTTTATCTCCTCTGGCTTGCCCCCACCCACCACCCCCCGCCCCAAATTCAAGACCAGTCTTTTCAAGCTCCCTGTCTCATTTCTATGCAAAGGGATAGGAAATGGGGTAGAAAGCATTGGGGAGCTTGCTCAGAGGCCTGTCCCATCAGATCCTTCCTGCTGGAGACCTGACAGAGGTGGGGGAGAAGGGTGTGACCCTCAGCGGGGGACAGCGGGCCCGGATTGCCCTTGCTCGTGCTGTCTATCAGGTAAGCTAAAGGTGGGCAAGCCCAGAGCCTTGGGAGCTTAGCTGGAGGGTGGGGGATATTTTCAGCATCTGGTTCCCCCTCACCCATGACCTGAGTTGGTGGTTCCTTGGCCACCCCATTCCCCTTTTGCAGATTCAGGGCAGAACTAAAGGCCCTTTAAAAACTATTATATGCCCTGCATTGGCCAGTGTGGCTCAGTTGATCGAGCGTTATCCTGTGTACCTAAGGGTCACCAGTTCAATTGCCAGTCAGGGTACATGCCCAGGTTGTGAGTTCAATCCCAAGTCAGGGTGCATGCCAGAGGCTGATCAATATTTCTCTCTCTTCCTCTCTCTCTGGAAAAAAAAAAAATCAATAAAAACATTTAAAACATACACAAAAAATCCTGTTATGTGGCTTGAGGCACTGGGCCCCAGCAAGGCTGAGCATTGGCCCTGGGGCACTGGCCTTGTTTGACTGGAGGGAAGTCCACCTCGGGTCTCACCTCCTTCTCTCCTGCGTGAGGGGTAGCGCCCAGAGTTCCTCTGAACCTTCTTTTGTGACTCCCTCAAGATCACGTCCTAGGCGAGGTCTGGGTTCTGGCCAGAGGGCCTGGGCCTTGGCGTCCATGGTGCCCCTGCCACTCTCTAGGAAAAGGAGCTCTACCTCCTCGATGACCCTCTGGCGGCTGTGGACGCAGACGTGGCCAACCACCTGCTGCACAGGTGCATCCTGGGGGTGCTGAGCCACACCACGCGGCTGCTCTGCACCCACCGCACCGAGTACCTGGAGAAGGCTGACCTGGTGCTGCTGCTGGAGGCCGGGCGCCTGGTCCAGGCGGGTAATGTGGGCTGCCAGGGCAGGAGGCCAGCCAGTGAGGGGCCACCTACCTGGGTGTAACTGGGGAAGAGGGACAGATGGATTGTCAAGTGCAGACTCTGCCACCCCTCCGTGTGTGGCGTGGGCCCAGTCATCTTGCTGTCTCCTGGGAGCCCCTGTCCTGCCTTCACAGAACCGATGTGAGTAACGGGAGAGCAGGAGGGAAAGGAGCACGCTGCAGAATGCCTGTGGACTGGGGACTTGGGCTTTGTGACCGAGAACATTGGGAACTTACAGTCCCTGGATCTCTGAGAACAGACTGATGTCCATGGAGAAGAGAAAGCAGTTTTAGAACAGTCTTTTTTATTAAAAAGAAAAAAAAAATCCTGAAGGATTATTATCCAGAGGGACATGACTGTCTGCAGGCTCACTGGGAGAGAAACAGGAGGAAGTGAGGCTCCCCCGGAGTGCTGGGAATTTGTGAGGCGTAAGGAGAGAGCCTGGCGGCACTGAGAGGTGACGCTGGATAGAGTGCTCACGGCGCTATGACTCCCAGGGGCGAACAGTTTCCGTCTGTGCTGATTGGGCTCCCGACTGAGGGTGGACTTAATGGTCCTGCCCAGAATTGGGATATCAGACAGAGCCCTGCCAGAGTGGATCCAAAGAGAAGGGTGGTAGGAGAGGGGGTGGGGGAGTTGACACACATTTTTAGAAAAACCTAGTATACTTCTGGAACAGTCCCCTCCTGATTTCACCTGCTACCTTCCAGGGCCTCCCTCTGAGATCCTGCCATTTGTACAAGCTGCCCCCAAAGTCTGGGCTGAGGATGGTCGCGAGTCTGACTCAGGTATGGCCCAAGGATGACAGGAAGTGGCTTGCTCTTCACCACGAGACAGTAGGCATACGATTTTTCCAGAGCTTGCCTGCCTCTCTGAAACACTGAGGTTTTCAACTGTCATCCTTCAAGCTTAATCCCCCTGACCTTGATCCTTCCAGCCACAGCACAGTCAGTACGGAGCCCAGAGAAAACAAAGGAGGGACTGGAGGTGGAGGAGAGCGCGTCTGGCCGCCTGCTGCAGGAAGAAAGCAAGAAGGAGGGCGCTGTGGCCTTCCATGTGTACCGAGCCTACTGGAGGGCCATCGGCCTGGGCCTGGCCCTGGCCATCCTGGCCTCGCTGCTCCTCATGCAAGGTAGGAATAGACCCCGGAGCCTTTATCCCACCCATAGCCTGATCTTCCAGCTCCATCACATCCTTCCCTGTGGACTAATCCTTACAAAGCCCAAGACTCACCAGGCATGGACCATAGCCGAGACAATAGGCCTGCCCCCAGTGCTGACAGAGTCCCAGAAGCCAGACAGATGCACTCTGTGGCCATCGTCGGATCTGCCCCCTTCTGCACATTTGAGATCAAGCTCCCCGCCGACCTGTGGAGTGATAGGCCAGGAAAGAAGCACACACCAGGGAGGACATGGAATAGTGGCAGGGTGGGGAGGCCCAGCAGGGTGAAGAAGGAGAGAACCAGAGTCAAGGGCAGTGGATTAGGAGTCAGGAGGTGAGTCTCACAGCTTTCTCTTTCCTGTCCCCACCCAGCCACAAGGAACGCTGCTGACTGGTGGCTCTCCCACTGGATCTCTCAGCTGAAGGCAGACAAGAATAGCTCCCAGGAGGTGTCAGTCCAGACCACCCCGGACTCTGCTGGGCTCCTCTCTGCCCAGCTGCTCCTCTTTTCCCCCAGAAGCTTCTAGTGAGTGCCTGGGGCTGGGAGCAGGCCCGGTGTTCTCAGAGTGGTTGCCAGGCGGGGAGTGAGAGTTGGGAAGCAGGTGGGGGGGAGGGGGAGAAGAGGGCTGGTGGTTCCAGGGGTTGTTTCTCTGCAGAATGAGGAGAGGTAGTGTAGGCGAGGGGAAGAGACCACCTAGTGGCTCTACTGTTGGTGACCCTCAGCCTCCTCCCCACCTCCCAGCACCTCAGCGTTCCTCCTGCCCAAAGCGGCCCCCAATGGCTCCTCCGACATCCGTTTCTACCTCACCGTGTATGCGAGCATTGCTGGAGTCAACTCCTTCTGCACCCTCCTGCGGGCAGTGCTCTTTGCAGCAGGCACCCTCCGGGCAGCCGCCATCCTGCATCGCCGCCTGCTGTGTCGAATCCTTATGGTGAGGGGGTGAGAGGGTGGGCATGGCATGTGGGAGCCCTCTTTATACTTGGGCCCCATCCTGCTTCCTGTTCCTGGGAGAATCTGGCCCCTCACAGATGAGTGCAGCACTTGACAACTTGTGGTCTGGAAAGGCTGAGAGCAGAGGGGCTGCCTGGGTTCAGACCCGGATACTTAACCCACAGCTTCCTCCTCTGCCACATGGGGGGAAACAGGAAGCCACATGGGGGGAGAAGGGAAGTGTCCTCAGAGTCAGTCAAGGGCACATGATTCTGGTCTAAAGGACTGAGGGTTGAGCTAAGCACCCTTAGTCCATGCAAAGTCCCTTTTGTGTTTACTTATTTACCTATCCATCCCTATTTCTGTATACCCATCTCCATTTCCTATATACTCCTTAAAAAGCAACAATCTATGTGTGTTAAAGTGTATCTTTTTTTGTGTGTGAAATGCCCGTTTTGTGTTCATATATTTTTTTAAATGAAATTTTGTTTCTTACAGTTTATATTTAGGGCTGTTTCTAAGATCCATTCTGGTTGCTATGTGTATATCTATTCTAGCCTACCCATAGACTTAGTATGAGGATAAATTAATTAGGCATGGAAAGTGCTTAGGATAGCCCTAGCCAGTTTGGCTCAGTGGATAGAGCATCAGCCTACGGACTGAAGGGTCCTGGGTTTGATTCCAGTCAAGGGTATATGCCTGGGTTGTGGGCCCGATTCCCAGTAGGGGGCATGCAGGAGGCAGCCAATCAATGATTCTCTCTCATTGGTGTTTCTCTCTCCCCCTCTTCCTTTCTCTCTGAAATCAATAAAAATATATTTTTAAAGGGAGAGAGTGCTTAGGATAGTGCGTGGGACATACTAAGTGCTCAATTGGCAATTATTATTAATGTTGTTATTGTTACAAAGCCCATTCTTATTCATTGTCTTATTTGGACCTCATAATTACCCTGTGAGGCAGGTATTATTATCCCTATTTTACAGATGAGGAAACTGAGGCTCAGAGTGACCGAGGCGAGGCTGTTTCCCTAGAGAGCAGGCTGTGAACCAGTCCCATGTGGGTCTGTCCAATGCCTGTCGGGAGCAGCTGCCTACTGTTCTGCCTCTCCTCCGGGAGCTAAGGAGGGGCATCTTCAGGCTGTGAAGAAATTCATTTCTCTTCCTCTGGCTTTGAGAGATACTTCAGAAAGTCCTTCAACCTAGTCTTCTGCCTTAAGATAGGACCGTTGCCCAAGGAAAGGCAGAGAGTTGGGGGATGGGGAAGCGGGTTGCCTTGGAGACTGTGCCTCCCAGCAGTAGTCCCGATGTCTGGCAGTCACTGAGCCAGACAGACTGTGCTGAGCTACTGGCCGCTATGTAAATGGCCTTTAATCCTTACCGATAGCCCTGTGAGGTGCAGTTCCATTAGTCTCGTTTTTGTTTTTTTTTCATGATTGATTTAGAGAGAAACATCCATTTGTTGTCCCATTTATTTGTGCATTTATTGGTTGCTTCTTGTCTGTGCCCTGACTGGAGATGGAACCTGCGACCTTGGCATATTTAAAAAATATATTTTTTCATTGATTTCAGAGAAGAAGGGAGAGGGAGAGGGAGATAGAAACATCAGATGAGAGAGAATCATTGATTGACTGCCTCCCGCACACCCCCCACTGGGGATCGAGCCCACAACCCAGGCATGTGCCCTTGACCGGAATCAAACCCGGAACCCTTCAGTCCACAGGCCGACATTCTATCCATTGACCAGACTGGCTAGGAGATCCTTGGCGTATTTAGATAATGCTCTAAGCAACTGACCGACCTGGCTGGGCTATTATCCCAGTTTTTGAAATGAGGAACATGGGCCTTTAAGAGATTGAGGGGTTTCACCTCTACTAAGTGGCAGAGCTGGAATCCCAGCCTCAGTCTGACTCCAGAGCCTGAATGCGGCCATGAGGCGATCTGACTTGAACCACTGCCCTCACCCTCTGTCCAGCCCTGGGCGATCAGGATGTGCCTCCTGACCCTCACTCACTGGCCGGAAGTCCCCGTGTTCTGGAGAGGGACGTAGGCATGTCTGGCACAGAGGTAGCAGAGTGGCCAGCATGGCCTTTCAAGGCTCACCACTGGCCAGAGGGACAGTCTTTGTCTTTTCTAACCTGCGATATTCTTCCTCCTGGCTCCACCTGTTCCTCCTTTCCGCTCCCAAACTCTGGAGACACTTTGCTTTCTTTTGCCCCCGCACCTCCCCCAGGGTGGCCTCCCACCCCGTTTGTGCCAGACCCTGCCCTTGCCCAACCATATCCCTTCTCCCAGGCACCCATCACGTTCTTCGACGCCACGCCCATGGGCCGGGTCCTAAACCGCTTCTCCTCCGATGTGGCCTGCGTGGACGACAGCCTGCCCTTCATCCTCAACATCCTCCTGGCCAACGCGGCAGGCCTGCTGGGCCTCCTGGCGGTGCTGGGCTCCGGCCTGCCCTGGCTGCTGCTGCTGCTGCCGCCTCTGAGCCTCATCTACTACCGCGTGCAGCGCCACTACCGGGCTTCCTCGCGGGAGCTGCGGCGCCTGGGCAGCCTCACCCTGTCCCCGCTCTACACCCACCTGGCCGACACCCTGGCCGGCCTCCCCGTGCTCCGGGCCTGCGGGGCCACTGGCAGGTGTGTGGAGCCTGCCTCTCCCACCCGGAGCGAGGGTGTGAGGTGCTGGCGGGGAGCGGGCAGAGGACCCCCCTTACGAAGAAAGGCACGTGGGAGAGAGGGGCTTCGGGTCTCCTGAGAAGGGAAGGGTGAGTGAAGGCACTAAGGGGAAGAGGAAAGAAGCAGAAGAAAGGCATGGGTGCAGAGCAGACCGCCTGTGAAAGAACACGCTGACCTCTCCGTGCCCTCCGTGAGGCCTGTGGGTGTGTTGATCAGCTCCGAGAAGAAGGCGTTCTGAGGGGGAGTCTGGGCAAGTGGAGTGGCCTTGCTTCCCCCCCTGGCTTCCCCCAGGTTCGAGGAGAAGAACCAGAGGCTCCTGGAGCTAAACCAGAGGTGCCAGTTTGCCTCCAGCGCCACAATGCAGTGGCTGGACATTCGGCTCCAGCTCATGGGGGCCGCCGTGGTCAGCGCCATCGCAGGCATCGCCCTGATACAGCACCAGCAGGGCCTCGCCAACCCAGGTACCACCCCGGGCCCCTTTACTCCCCTCAGAAGCATGCGATTCCCGTGCCCTGCCCCAGACCTCTCCCTGCGCCGTCCCCCAGCGTTCTCCCCTGCCGCGCAGGGTCCCTGTGAGTATGTGTCGTAATTCTCCTGCCCCTCGTTGTAGAGTTGAGGACACTGAGTCTCAAGAAGTGACTTTCCCAGGTGATGCTGCATCTGGTACTAGAATCAGTCTTCTGGTCTCTGCCCCTGCCCTCTCCCCCGACCCCCAGCCCTCTGCCAGGCCCACCCATCCTCCCTCAGAGCCTCTGTGGACCCACTCCACTGCCTGGCATCTAGCGTCGGTGGCCCTGGGTCTGCTGCTGGCACCTTCCTGCTTCTCTGCGGCCTCCGTTCAATGCCCGCAGTCCGCAGCTTGAGATTCTCCCGTTCGGCCTCAGTCCTCCTCACCAAGCCTCCCCTGGTGCCTGGTGTTCCTCTCCTGCCAGGACTGGTGGGCCTGTCTCTGTCGTATGCCCTGTCCCTGACGGGGCTACTCTCGGGCCTGGTGAGCAGCTTCACGCAGACAGAAACCATGCTGGTGAGCGTCGAGCGGCTGGAGGAGTACTCCTGCGACCTGCCCCAGGAGCCCCAGGGCCAGCCGAGGCAGGTAGGCCCGCACCTGTGCCCCGGGCCTGGGCGCTGGAACCTGGAAGGACCCTCCCCACTGCCCCAGTCATTCCCCAGGTTCCTTTCCACTCCTTGCCATCTTTCTCAGCTCCTCTAATGTCCCCGCATGATCTCCCCTTTCTTCACTGTGTCCCTCATCTTTGTGTCTGTTCTCCCATCTCCTTCACTTGTCCTTATTTCCCCCTTTCCTCTCACACCATCTATTTCTCATCCTTCCACTCTCCAACCCCCCTTCTCCCCACGTCTCCCCGTCTCACCCATCTCCCTCCACCTCCCACCCACGAACCCCACCAGCTAGGCACTGGCTGGCTGACGCAGGGGAGCGTGGAGTTCCAGGACGTGGTGTTGGTGTACCGGCCGGGGCTGCCGAATGCCCTGGACGGGGTGACCTTCCGCGTGCAGCCCGGAGAGAAGCTGGGCATCGTGGGCCGCACGGGCTCCGGAAAGTCGTCCCTGCTGTCCGTGCTCTTCCGGCTGCTGGAGCCCAGCTCGGGGCGCGTGCTCCTGGACGGAGTGGACACCCGCCAGCTGGCGCTGGCCGAGCTCAGGTCTGGGGGAGCGAGAAGAGGAGAACCAGACTACTGGCACAGAGAGGAAGCCTAGCCGAAAGGTTTCTGTAGACTCAGGGCAGCAGGGTCGATTCGGGGAAGGCAGCTGGGACAGCCAGCAAGGATGGCGAGCTCCCAGGGCTCGCTGTCCTCAGGTGCAGGGATGTAGCTGTGGGGTCAGGTCTTTAATCTGACCCAGGCCCACCTTTCCAGCTTCATTTTTTCTTGTACTTCCCAGTATGCACCTTGCAGTCTAGATCAATGGTCACTGCATCCTGAATCAGAGCCTCCCGGTGCTGTGCCCAAGATACTCATCCTCTCCGCCCTCAGGCTTGGCGGGTGATGCTCAGGGCACTTGAGACCTGGGCCAGTTGCCCCTGGCAACAAGAGGCCACATCTGGTGCTAAACAACTCCCCCCACCAGCCCAGGTTAGCCTAGTGTCATTTTCTCTGATGTGGAAAAGGCAGGGAGCTCTGTTCCAAAGCCTATTATTGGTCCCAGGCCCTGGCCCTGCCTTTCCTGCCTTCTCTTCTAGCTCCACATATGGCTCCTCAGGACCCAATTCTAGGCCCTCCCATCTTGACGCATCCTCTCCCTACTATTCAAACTCTCTGCCACCACGGCTGTCCCAGTGCCTGATGGAGTCTCCTGCCCTGTGTTTTGTAGCTTAGTGAGATGTAAGCTCCTTAAGGGCAGAGCGTGGGCCTTTGGCTTCTCTCGTATCCCTCATGGCACCTGCCCAGTTCTGGTAACACGCTGAACAGCAGGGGAGCTGAGTGAGGGTTATGTTCAGGGCTCTTCCCTAGGCTTCTCTGGAGGTGCTAGACCTATAGCTGAAACCTGTGCCAGGCGCAGAAGTGACCACACCTCCAGCCTAGACCCATGTCCCTCTGTCACCCAGGTCCCAGCTGGCTATCATCCCCCAGGAACCCTTTCTGTTCAGTGGGAGTGTTCGGGAGAACCTGGACCCCCGGGGCCTGCATGAGGACAGGGCCCTGTGGCAGGCTCTGGAGCAGTGCCACCTGAGTGAGGTGATCGCGTCCATGGGTGAGTACCAGGCCCTACCCTGCAGGGTGGAGGAGGAGGGAGCAGGGAGGGGGCAGAGAGAGACCTAGGACCCAGGGGCGACGATGCTGTGCCTTGTAGGTGGTCTGGATGGTGAGCTGGGCGAGGGGGGCCGGAGCTTATCACTGGGGCAGAGGCAGCTGCTGTGTCTGGCCAGGGCTCTCCTCACAGATGCCAAGGTAAGGTGAGAGGAGACATCCGAGAGGGCCGGGAAGAAGGCAGGGGCATGTGAGGGGTGGGGAGTGAGCAGGGAGAAGTCTCAGAGGACCACGTTAGTTTTTCTTTTAGAGCTGGAGGTGGGGATCTGCGGGCTGGGCTGGGCCGCGTGGGGCCCCACCAGGGGGTAGATGCCGGTGCTTGGGCAGAAGCCAAGACGAACCCTCTTCTCTGTCCTCCTGCCCACCCCCTCCACATGTTCCAGATCCTGTGCATTGATGAGGCCACGGCAAGTGTGGACCAGAAAACAGACCAGCTGCTCCAGCAGACCATCTGCAAACGCTTCGCCCACAAGACAGTGCTAACCATTGCCCACAGGTGTGCAAGCATCGGCATGAGATTCCAGTCAGGGGAAATAGTGTCAGGGACCTGGGGGTCAGAGCCCTAGAGCACATGTGTCAAACACAAGGCCCGCGGGCCAAATCTGTCCCGCCAGGCCTTGCAATGTGGCCCGCACCGCGCTGTCATCACTGCACTCCGCTGCATTTCCATCACAATGACAGTTTATGACTGTTCAGTAAACCATTCGGCCCTCGATTTAGGCTGGATTTTAGATTTTGGCCCCTTCTCTGATTGAGTTCGACACCCCTACCCTAGAGATTCCAAACTTCCATGAACCTCAGCTCCTCATTCTCATAGCACATTGTCTGAAGGCATCGGTAGCCCCCAGCGCGGAGCCGGGTAAAGCGTGGGGGCAGGACTGTGCTGTCTAGGGAAGGAGAGGAGGGAAGGTGGGTCAGCTTCCTGCTTCAGGGCAGCGGTCGCCAGCCTTTCAGTTCACCGACCACCTGTTGGCGACCGCTGCTCTAGGGTGTTGCCCTCCATCCTCCACTGACCACCTCCTCTCCCACAGGCTCAACACCATCATGAACTCTGACCGGGTGCTGGTGCTGCAAGCTGGGAGGGTCGTGGAGCTGGACTCCCCTGCCGCCCTGCGCAACCAGCCTCACTCCCTGTTCCAGCAGCTGCTGCAGAGCAGCCAGCAGGGAGCCCACTCCTCCCCCTGAGCGCCCCCCCCCCCTGTCACCCCTATCTTACCCTCTGCTGGGTGGCTGCAGAGCTGTTTGTTTACATTCGCCTCCATGGCTCTACCTCACTGGCACTTCCTTGGGGAGGGGGGAGGTGTCATGGGTTCCTCTCTAAGAACCAGGCTGAAGGCAAAGTCCCAAGGTTTCCCCAGAAACAGGCCTCTGCTCAGCCCTCTTCAGTGACGCCAGGCAGTTTTTTCTGGAAAAGGAGTCCACGTACAATGCCATAGTTTTATTGAATAAGATTCCCATCTTACATTCTGTGTATTAAAAAAATAATATTTCTTGTGTGAAGCTGCTGAGGGGAGGCAAGTGAGGACGGTTCCAGTCTGAAGGGCAGAGCAGGTGGAGGCGGCACGAAGCCCCACCCCCGTCACAGTGCCGTGGTCTTTCTGGGCTCAGGGGGCAGGTCAGGTGGCAGGGGGAGCCCCGCAGGCAGCATGCTGACCTGACATTCTTGGTCCTGGCGTGCCGGGGCGTAGTGCGGTGCCGAGGAGCAACAGGGCCCAGGGGGACAGATGCCCCGGCGCCAGGCCCTCAGGGTCAGCAACACCGTGGACAGGACCAGCGTGGCAGTGAGGGCCCCGAACACCACCACGGCCACCAGGCTCGACTCACCTAGCCTGGCCTCTTGCCTACGCACTACCTCCTTCACTGAGATGCGCAGCAGGCCAGCCCCTGCGCTGTGGGGGGCAGGCCCCGTGGCAGGCACCACCAGCGCCGAGGTGGGCCCCAGGGGCATGTCTGCCACGGTGGCAGGGTCTGGGTCAGGTAAGACGAGCTCACAAGTCTTGCCGCCATAGCCGCTAGGACAGAGACAGTCGAAGTCGTGGACCCGGTCCCGGCAGCGGGCCCCTCTCTGGCATGGGCGGCTGGCACAGTCATCCAGGTTGATGGTGCAAAAGCGTCCAGCAAAGCCCTCCGGGCAGAGGCAGAAGAAGCGGTTTATGCCATCCAGACAGGTGGCGCCGTTAGCACAAGGCCTCATCAGACAGTCGTCCACGTTCACCTCACAGTAGGCACCCACAAAGCCTGCCAAGCAGCGGCACGTGAAGTTGAGGGCAAAGCCCTGGTCGTCCTGGCACTGGCCGCCATTCTGGCACGGGGAGCTGGGGTGGAGGTGGGAGAGGGCTTTGATACAGACTCACACCTGCAGGGCAGCCTAGGTCAGCATCCTGACCACTGCCCAACCCCCTTCCAGCAATGTCACCTTGAATCACATCACCTTGAATCAATATCTCCTTTTAAGATGGAAATGGAAGTAGCATTCGGCTTCCACATTGTGAGGGTTAAATGAGATAACCCAACGTCAAGCAGTTAGCATGGCCCAAAGGCAAGGCTGAAGGCAAGTGTATTATAACCTTGGTAGGCTCTTAGGCCCCACACAGAAATGAGGGCAGGCCCCGCCCTACAGGCCCTTTTCCCTATGCACACACTGAGGCAGAAGGCTGTGTGTGGGGGACATCCTTAGGGGCCACAGGGGCAGCTTACCTGGGAGGAGGAGGGGAGTCCTAGGTCCTCACACTCCCCCCCGCCCCCAACAGCCAGAGCAATCACACATCGATCTGTTACATCTCCAGTTCCTATAGATTTTTGTTGAAATGGTCCCGATGGTATAAAAGGGACACTGGCAAGCTGGGGTTTTATCCTCTGGTGCCCTCAGTGGGGCTTCTGACCGTCAGCCCTGTTACTTCACTGCCAGCCTCTCAACAGTCCTGCCTCCTGTCAACAGATTCCCACCTAACCTTGAACTCACCCCAGGGGGCCATACTCACCCAGCCTGCTCACAGGGTCCAGTCTTGCGCTCACAGTCCCGTCCGTGGAAGCCTGGTAGGCACACACAGTGGTACTCGCCGCCCCCATCATAGACGCACTGGCCTCCGTTCCGGCAGGGGGACTGGGTGGTACAGATGTGCTCATCTATAGAGGAGACGGAAGGTTCTGGGAGAGCCCCTTACATCTGGCACCCAGACCTGGCCAGAACCCTCCCTCGGGCTCAGTGGGTGCAGCTCATACTGCAGACCCACCCAGGCTGGTATGTTTGGTGGGGTAAACAACACTGAATTCGGAATCAGGAGGCCCCTGCCCCTGGCAATGTCCATCCGTCTCAGTAACTTCAAGCAAGTTGTAGCTCATCTCTGAGCCTCAATGTCCTCATCTGTACAATGAGGACCGTTTCCGCAGCCGCCTTGCCCATCTCATGGGGTTAGGGTAAGGGCCAAGTGAGGCAACACATAGGTATGGAGGCTAAAATGATGAGCTGCTGTGCATTTGAGTTTGGGGGCTGGACACAATAAATAGTGGATGTTTTCCCAAGGCACATGGGGTCTCCAGACCAACAGCTGCCCTCTCTGCTCCCCTACCTTTGTCACAGAACTTGCCCGCCCAGCCACCATGGCAGATGCACTGCCAGGGCTGGTGGCAGGAACCATGCTGGCAGCCAGGCATCCGCACACAGCGCTCACAGTGCGGCCCCTCCCAGCCTGGGTCACACCTGATGGGGAGAAGCACAGGGTCAGGGCTCCAAGCGAGGTGGGAGGTGGGGGGAGGAAGTGGAGGCAAGACCAGAGCATTTCAAAAACAAGAAGACATGACAGTCCCCAGGGGAAGCAGGCCCATCCGGATAGGTGTGGGCTGTGTAGGGTCATGTCTGTGGAATCAGATCATCTGACACCAGCACTCAAGTGGTTCTGCACTTTGTCTAATCCTTGTGAGCCTTAGTTTCCTCATCTGTAAATTGGGAATGCATTTTCTGGGGATGTGTCGAGGAAGGAACTAAGATGATTATAAATACTCCCAGGATCAGTCCTGGCATATCTGAGACTCAGAAATGTGTGTTGTTTTTTAAAGAGTGCCCTTGATTCCAGGGCAAAAGCCTGACCTGTGTGTTTTCTTAATCCTCACCCAAGGAATGACGATATTTTTTCCATTGACTTTTAGGGAATGTGGAAGGAAGGGGAGAGGGGGAGAGAGAAACATTGAAGTGACTTAGACACGTCGATTGGTTTCCTCCCACACAGGATCTGAAGGGGGTCAGGGATCAAACCTGCAACCCAGGTATGTGCCCGTGACTAGGAACTGAGCCCATGACTCTCCAGCAGGCCTGCACTCTAACCATTGAGCACCCTGCCAGGGCCTGACCTATTTTTTAAAAAGCCCTCCGTCCTTGAGTCCAGAACACCCCCAGCCCCTCCAGCAACTTGCCCTGACAGGTCCATCCAGACACATTTCCCTCCTGCTACTGAATTTGCCCCACCCTCACCCCAGTGAGTCAATTACTCAAATTCATCAAGAAAGATACTCTTGCCCTAGTTGGTTTGGCTCAGTGGATAGAGCGTCGGCCTGTGGACTGAAGGGTCCCAGGTTCGATTCCAGTTAAGGGCACATGCTTGGGTTGTGGGCTCCATCCCCAGTGTGGGGCATGCAGGAGGCAGCCAATCAATGATTCTCTCTCATCATTGGTGTTTCTATCTCTCTTTCTCTCTCCCTTTCTCTCTGAAATCTATAAATATATATATATATATATTTTTTTTTTTTTAAAGATACTCTTTCATAAGGTCATCTTCCCAGCAATCCTCCAGCAGCCTTTCTCTTATAGGCCAAACCAATTCTCTTTATGCCTTTCCTATCTCTCCCTTTCCTCCAGGCTCCCAATCTCCAAACTCTCTCAAGTTCCAGGCCTTTCTCCTGGTCTTGAGGAGGAATGTTTCAGAATTCTTGGGTCAGATTTGGGTGAGTGAAACAGTGGGGAGCATAAGCTGGAAGAAGGAAGAGTCAAGGCGAAGGTGAAGGAAGGCTGGCTGGTCTGCCCTGTGTGCTGTGGGGGTGGGGGTGGGGTGGGGTGGGAAGGAACAGTAGGGTGTTAAGCCCCTGGGCACCCTGCCCTGTTGTGGGTGTGAAGGACTGGGAAAAGAGGAGCAAAGGGTTTAGGAGCACGTGCTCAGAGAGGTACCTGCAGGAGCCGTCAGGATCACAGCAGCCGTGGGCCAGGTCACAGTGGGAGCTGCAGTCATCGGCTGCAAGAGATTGATTGATGTGGGAGGGGTGAGCCCTGCCCCTGAGATGCTGGGCTCGGGAGGGTGCGGGGCCCCAGCAATTGGGTGGGCTCAGCTCTGGGGCAGAGTCCCCAACAGACAGACACTCCAAGGGATGGCTTGGGTCTCACCAACCCCGCGGGTCCGAGCGGCTGCAGTGCCGTCTCCGGCCGGCAGAGGTCAACGTGAAGCGGGGGACGTGGGGAGGCAGAGGGCCGCGACCTGCGTCCGGGGTGCGCTCACCTACGGCGTGCCGAGCCGGGGCCCCCAGGACGCACAGCAGGCACATGAGATGCAGGCAGCGGCAGCCGCTGGGCATGGTCAGCGCCGGCCCCGGGGAGGACGGACGGGTGGACGGCCGCACGTGCGGACACCTGTGGGACGACGCAGGCTGGGAGACGGGCGGATGCGGAGAGAAGCGGCACGGATTGCGGTTCTTAGCGACAGGAGCCGAAGGGGAGCGGGGCGTCCGGACAGAAGAAGGGGTGAAGGCAGGGCGGGGAAGGGTGGAACCGATGAGGAGGGGGGTGAAACGGCCCAGAACCAGGCTCTGTGGGAAGAGGCAAAGGAGGGGCGGCGTGGAGGGGCCGGGGCTAGGGACGCCCAGAACGGAGGGGTCCGTGGCGGTGAGGATCGCGCCGAGGGGAGGCCTGGAGCAGGGAGGGGACGCGGGGTCTGGTTCCCAGCAGCGAGCGGTCTCCGACCCCACTCCAGGCTCCATCCAGGACCGGCCCCCTTCCCGTCTCAGCCGCGCCGGCTTGGCCGCGCCGCCCGGCCCGGAGCCCCCGAGCGCCCCGGTCCGGAGCGCCCCGCCCTCGCGGTCCTCACCTCGGGCTGCGAGGCGGTGCTCCGGGCGCCACGCGAGGCCGGGTCCGACGGGCTCCGCCGCGGGGCCGCCCCTAGCGGGCCTCGGGGCCGGGCGCCGAGGCGGCTGCCATGCGAGCCGAGCGCTCCGGAATCTGGGGCTCCAGGCGATCGCGAGCGGCGGCGGCGGCGGCTCCTCGTGCGCGCTCGGGCCGCCTGCCAGGGGCGGCGTGTGCCGGCCGATCCCTCCTCCCGCGCCCTCCCCGGCCCGCCGCCGGCCCGCCCCGATCCTCCGCGCCCGCCGCCACCCCCCGCGGCGCCCGGCTCACGCCTCCTCCCGGAGCGCGGCGCTCGCCCCTTTCCCCGCTGCCGCTCTCTTCCCCGGGCCCCCACCCTCCGCTGCCACCCAACCTATCCGAGCCTCGCTTTCTCCTTCGGAGGGAGGAAATGATGGGAATCTACATGCAAAGTGCCGGCCAGATGTGCGCCGCCCAGTGACTCTCCCATCTCGAACCCCAGCTTGGCTGCCCTGGCCTCTCGCCCCCGCCCCACCTCCGTCCTCACCAGTCCCGCTCCTCCGGTGGATCCGGCACGCGCTCCGGGCGGCGCCGCCCCCGCCCTCCTCCTGTCACCCAGCCCACGCCTCCGCCGTGAGGAAATCCTCCATCACCTGCTTCGCTTCAAATGGCTGCGCCTCTCCTCCGCTTCTCTCTCTCCGCGCCGCCGAGCACAGCCTTCTAGGATCAGCGGCGCCTAAGGATCGGCCCCACCCCCACCCCATCTCTATCCCCGCCGCCCTGTCCCTTCCCGTGGCCGCTATGGGACGCCCCTCTGGCCAGGGAATGCCCCTGACTCTGTAGATGTACCCCACCCCCCACCCCCCGCACCCCAGTTCCTTCTCCTGTACCCGGATCACATCCCTTCTTGAGCTCAGGCTAATCGGCCAAAACCAGAGCTCTGACTAACCGAGTTCGGTGCGGGGAGTAGGGGGGACTATTGTCCAGGCTCAGGGCTCGGAGACACCTGTGCAAGGCGAGGACAGGAAGCACTTCTCTTGCCTGCGCAGCGCAAGAGCGCAGAGGCTAGGAACACCACCGAAGCCTCCAGATCAAGATTTCTCCATCTTTAAATGCCACAGATTGGAAGGAGGACTCTCCAGCCCCTGCAGAAGCTTCCCACGGACACCCCACAGGGACGGAGCCGCTGGCCTAGTTTTTCTTGCAGTCTCCATTGGATGTAACAGCCACACCCACCTCATCTCTCCAGCCACTTCCTCTTCCCTAAAGAGCTTTCTGAATCTGAGTAATGCCATAGCTCTAGCCTTTTATTTTGTTTTAATTTGTTTTTTAGTGAAAAATTGGAAACAACCTATAACGTCCAATTAGTGTAGGTCAAATAGATTATGTGACTATCAAAAGTCGCCTTTTTGAGGCCTCCCCTAGCGGACACACTCCATAATCTCAATCTCCTATTATAATCATACTTGCCTAGATGTAAAAAAAAAAAAAAAAAAAAAAAAAAAAAAAAAAAAAAAGGGAAAAGTATGTTAACTGCAAGCAGGGAGAGACAACACAGAACGCCTGTCAATTACCAGTGACTTTTGTTCTGGATAATGGAATTAAAGGTTATCTTTTCTTAATGATGCTTTTCTGCATTTTTTTTCCTTCCACAATGAACGTGTGCAACTTTATTATTTTGAAAGAAATTCAATAACACGATAGATCCTTTAGAATCAAGTAAAAAAAAAAAATCACCCATGATCCTATTACCATGAAAAAACCAATAATGTGGGTGGGTTTTGTTTTTTTTTTACCCTGTTCCTACCCAGATGTTTTTACTCAGTACCTGTAGTATTGTATCCTGACTTTTTTTTTTTTTACTCCACATAATGTATTGATAGTCCTCAAAAGCACAATTTTTATGGCTGCATAATAGTCCATTAGTAGATATATCACAATCTATTTAACTTAGCCCTCATTGTGGGATTCTCACAATTGGACCCTTACACAATTGTGTTTATGGTTTTGCTATTATACATTCATTCAACAAATATTCCTGAGCACCTGTGTGCTGCTACTTTGTGCTGGACGTCCGTCATCCTGGGCACTGGGGACTGTGTCTGGGGACTGGGAATGAGTCTAGGGACTGGGGACGTTTTATACATGTGGTTTTCTTCAGGGTTTGGGATCCTTCCTTAAGGCAGATTCTGAATTGGGGAGCGACTGTGTCAAAGCAGTTGTGGAAAATGACCAGTTCCTTCTCATTAATGAAATTCATTGGCATTCACTGATGAGACAGTAAAGATGGTTAAAACTTTGGAAGTTGATGGCATCAGACTGTATCACTCACTACTTCTCCCTCAGGCTGTAAATGATAGATCCTCCCTTCCCCCAACTGATGGACGGAGTATAACGTAATCTGTACCTGCAGCACGGACATTCTTAAACACCTAATCCAGGCACCTTATATAAAAATGTTAGCACCTGGCTTGTCACTCTTTTCACTCCCACTTCTGTCAAATTCTTGGAGATTTTTGATGACTCAGTTCCACATAGACAATTCTTCCAATTAATGTGCTTGCAACGAAAGCCACTACACTTCCTCCTGTCCCACATCACCCTTTGCAATGATTTTGCTGCTCTTCTCAGCAAGGAGCGGAGTCTGTTTGTCAACCCCTTGAATCTGGGCTGGCTTTATGGCTTGCTTTGACTAAAAGCATGCTGCAGAAATGATACTGTGTGTGTCCCCAGAGTCTGAGCCTCAAGAGACCTTGCACCTGTCCCTTTGCCCTCTCAGAATACTCCCAACATTATGTAAAAAGTCCAGTTTAGCCTACTGGAAAATGAGGAGCCTGATGGGAAAGAACTGAGGTGCCCTGGCCACCACCTACCAGACATGTGAGGTCATACTACCAGCCCCAGTCAACCTTCCGGATTGTCGCAGCCCCGTGACAATGCCCCAGCAAGACGAACGGAATTGCTCAGCTGAGACTGGTCCATGTTACCAAGCGATGAGCAGATAAATGGTGGTTGAGCCACCAAGTTTCGAAGTGGTTTGTTAACATGGCAATAGATAACTGATAAAACCAACTTCCTGTTTCCTTGATTTCTTCTTCACTAATAAGGAGGATTGTCTCAGCCAAACCTTGTTACTCAGTTCTTCACACACTCCATAATCTCAGTCTCCTATTATAATCACACTTGCCTATTACCAACTTGTATCGTTTCAGCCTATGCCCTCTAGTACCTGGACTCAAACAATCCTTTGTACAGAGGCTGTGTTTGCTTTTGCCATTTCAAATGCATTTAACATATATTGAATTTGGATCCACGGGGATCACCGGGCTACATTACAACGTTGGTGGGTCCTATGCACTTCACCTTAATGGCCCTCTTCCGCCACAAAAGAATAATAAAACTACACTTTATGGTTGCATTGGTATAAAGACAAATATAACCCAAGAAAGATGCATGATTCTACAGTAAGTCCTCACTTAATGTCATAGGTAGGTTCTTGGAAATTGTGACTTTAAGTGAAAAGACATACCTATATTGAAAACAATTTTACCATAGGCTAAATTGATCTAATCAATTGAGTTAAGATCTTATGGCATAGGTGGGTTTGGGGGATGGGTGAAAAAAGGTGAAGAGATTAAGAACAAATTACAGATGTTATTACAGGATAGTCATAGGGATGTAAAATACAGCACAGGAAATATAGTCAATGATATTCTACTAACCATGTATATAGGCACAATTTCTTGGGATCATCACTTAGTAAGTTATATATGTCAACTGTAACTGAAAATTTTAAAATGATAAAAATGAAATAAATTTTTAAATGTTCATACAGGCACATTTCTGGTCACCAAAACAAAGCATCATTAAACTTCTAAATAAAGAACTAAAACACTTCTAATGTTAAACATTGATATAAATATGAGCTATACATACATTTAAGAAAATTTAATAAAAACAAATAAGATAATTATTTTCCAACCTACTTATTTCACTTCAGGGTCCCAGGTGGCCGGAGGCAGTCCCAGCAGTTCATGGGATGAGGTAGGAATCCTGGTCAGGATGCCCTTCCATATCAGGACGCATTCACACGCCCACACACACACTCACTCCGACTGGACCATGTAGATACTCAATTTCTCTCATGTGCATGTCTTGGGAATGGGGGAGGGAACCAGAGTCTGCAGGAGAAAACCCATGCAGGCATGCGGAGAAGGTGCAAGGACCACACAGACAATGGCCCTGGCCAGGAAATTATTTTTTTCTTTTTCTTAAATTCTCACCTGAGGAGCCCAAGCCCATTTGGCTCAGTGGATAGAGTGTTGGCCTGTGGACCAAAACTGTCCCAGGTTCGATTCCAGTCAAGGGCACTTGCCTTGGTTGCAGGCTTCTCTCCAGCCTGGGTCAGAGTGCTTACAGGAGGCAACCAATTGATGTGTTTTTTCACATCGATGTTTCTCTCTGTCTTTCCCTCTCTCTTCCACTCTCCCTAAAAATCAATGCAAAAATATCCTTGGGTGAGGATTAAAATTAATAATAATAATAATAATAATAATATAAATAAATAAATAAATAAATAAATTCTCACCTGAGGAGATCCTTCATGAGAGAGGAAGGAGAAGAAAGAGAGAGAGAGAGAGAGGGAGAGAAGAAGAGAACAAGAGAGAGAGAGGGAGAAAGAGTCATTAATGTGAGAGGGAAGCATTAGTTGGTTGCCTCTCTAATGTGCCCTATCCGGGGATTGAATTCATGACTTGGGTATGTGCCCTGATCGGAAATCAAACCCTTAACCCTTTATGGGATGATGCTCCAACCACTGAAAAACACTGGCCAGGGGGTTATTTTTTTTTTATTTTTATTCATCAACATTTTGGTGAAATTATGTTAAATGAAATAATGTTATTTGAGTACCTGCTGTATATTCACTATTATTATTTCCACTTTTTTCTTTTGATTTTAAAATACATTAAAATTAAAACAT